CCCTCCCTCCCTCCCTCCCTCCCTCCCTCCCTCCCTCCCTCCCTCCCTCCCTCCCTCCCCTCCCTCCCTCCCTCCCTCCTCCTCCCTCCTCCTCCTCTCCCCTCCCTCCCTCCCTCCCTCCCTCCCTCCTCCTCCTCCCTCCCTCCCTCCCCTCCCTCCCTCCTCCTCCTCCCTCCTCCTCCTCCTCCCTCCCCTCCTCCTCCCTCCCTCCCTTCTATTGCTAACGATGAAGGGGCAGCATGGGCTTGAGTCTCTTCGGAGGAAAGCTCTACCAGCCCGTGAAGCCCTACGACCTCATGCTGGGCTCCAGCGTTTACGTGCACCTTGCGCAGACGCAGTTGGGAGCGCGAGGGCTGCCGGGGCTGGTGGAGGACATCCAGCCGGAGAGGAGGAGGAGGTACCTGGTGTGGGTGAGGACCGGGTTCACCGACTGGGCGAGAGACTTTGACCGTGAGAGACCCAAGGAGTGGATGACGATTGCGTCTGAATCAGGACAAGGGGACGCGATCATCTCCTCCTCCGTCCCGCGGTCAAACTTCAACACGTTCTTCTTTGCCTTCACTTCCGTCCTGCAAATCGTCTTCAATCGAGGATGGCCCAGCATCTTCTGGAACGCGGTGGATCAGGTCGGATTCTACTCCTGCTGGTATTTCTACTCGCTCATCTTCATCGGCAACTGGCTGCTGGTCAGCGTTGGGTTTGGGATGATCATAACAGGAAAGATCGGCAGGGAGCGGGAGACGCAGGAGGATCGAGGGAGGGTCCCTCGTCCTCGTCCCAGCCTCCTCGCGCGAGTGCTGATGAGCATCAGGAGGAGAGTGATAGGAAGCTCCGAGGAGGCCGAAGCCCAGCTCGATTCTGCGCTTTCACCAACCAAAGCTTCCAGTCGGGACAGGGAGGAGGAAGAGATTAAGTTCACAGCGTTCCAAGTCAACCTACAGCAGACTCTGTCCTCACAGGCTTACCTGGTCCTCAAAAGTCTCGTCGTCGTGCTCTCTTGTGCCTGCACGCTGCTCGAGCGGCCCAGCATCTCAAAATCCGAGCGGTCGCTGGTGATCTTCTTGTATGCTGTGACGACGGTGCTCTTCCTCTTCGACTTTCTGCTTCACGTCTGGGGGTTCACGGCGAGGAGATGCGTGCGGCGAGTCTCGTGGGTGGTGGAGGCAGCGTGTTTGATGGCGGCGCTGCTTGACGAGATCGTATCCTTCCTCTACAGCAAGGGAGAAGCTCCAGCGGACGGGTCGAGCTCCCTTGCTGTGGTCCGAGTCTTGCGAGTCTGGTTCCTCCTGGACCTGCTGCTCTTGAGGAAGAGAGGAAAGCTGGGACTGCAGTCGTTCGAGCTCCTTCTGCGATCCCTTCTGCACTCCGTCAGCCCCATCCTTAACACCGTCCTCCTCAGCGTCGTCGTCTTCACCGGCTTCGCCATCCTCGGCATGCAGTTGCTGGGAGGGAAGCTTAATCAATGCTCCGACCCTGTCATCTTCGCCAAGAGCAACTGCACTGGAAGCGACGGGCATGCGAGGCCTCGGATGTGGTACAGCTCTTCCCTGACCTTCGACTGGTTTGGCTCTGCCTTAGAATCCGTAGGCTTTGGTCCCCTCCTCCTCTCCTCCTTCCCTCACTCCTCCTACAGGTCTGGGTGATCTCAGCGGCCAACGACTGGATCGGCTTTATGTGGGAGGGAGTGGACGCGACGTCAACCGAAACTGGGGTGCCCCCGCGCCTCCTCCTCCTCCTCCTCCTCCTCCTCCTCCTCCTCCTCCTCCTCCTCCTCCTCCTCCTTCCCCCTCCCTCATACTCCTTGACTTGCTGCAGCCGTATCAGAACCACCAGCTTGCCATCGCCTTGTTCTACTTCGGCGTCACCGCCTCTGCCGCACTCATTGTCCTCAACATCTTCATCGGGGTCTTTGTGAGCTCCTACCAGGGTGAGACGCTCTGACCTCTCCCTGAGACTGACCGGGGACCAGCCATCCACCGGCAGGCGGAGCGAAGCCGATCAGCTCCGAGCAAGCCGACGAGGAGCCAGCTTCCTACCATCTTGGACGTGCGAGAGATCAAGGACCCGAGGAAGATTCTTTGCAGGAAGATCATGGTAGGACGGGGAGGAGGAGGAGGAGGAGGAGGAGGAGGAGGAGGAGGAGGAGGAGGAGGAGGAGGAGGAGGAGGAGCTGTGGGCGTGGAGGGCTGACAGGGAGTAGGATGGAAGCTTGGTTCAGAACGTGATGACATGCGCCATCTCCTTCACTCTGCTGTCGATGCTCCTGCAAAGCTATCATCAGAGCGTGCTCCAAGAGAGGCTCGTAACCGTCAGCAACGTCTACTTCACCCTCCTCTTCGGCGCAGGTCGCTTCCTCTCGCTGTTTCTCTCCTTCACTCACTTGCCGTCAGAGTGCTTGTTTCGCATCTTCGCGGTTGGGCAGAGACATTACTTCTCGTCATACCTCAACTGCTTCGATTACAGTGTCTTCCTCGTCGGCGTCATCGGATTGATAAGGTTGCTCTAAATTCGCTCTTCTCTTCCTCTCTTCTCTTCCTCTCTTCTCTTCCTCTCTTCTCTTCCTCTCTTCTCTTCCTCTCTTCTCTTCCTCTCTTCTCTTCCTCTCTTCTCTTCCTCTCTTCTCTTCCTCTCTTCTCTTCCTCTCCTCCCTCTTCTCTTCTCCCCCCTCCTCGCTTGCCCGCACTCTTCTCTGCCCTTCAACTTGAGTATCTTCTTATCATCTTCGCTTCGTTCGCTCGCAGCGACTCGCCTGCTCTTGGAGGATGGATCAGATCTGTTCGCTGGATCCGCGCGTTCCGCACCCTCCGCGTCCTTAAGGTCCTGGGGGCGCACAAGATCGTCAGGTCCATCGGAAGCATCCGCGACGTCTTGCTCGCGTTGCAGAAAGCTGTTCCCATCGCCCTCCACCTCATTCTGCTCCTCTGCTGCGTTTTTTACATGTACGGGGTCATCGGAGTCAAGGTGCGACCCCACGAGAAGGAGGCGGAAGGAGAGAGAGAAGGAAGGAGCGGGAAAGGACGAGAAGGGAGGGAGTAGAAGGGACAGCAAGCGAGAGGACAGAAAGAGAAGAGACAGGAAGGAGGACAGCGGAGGAGTGACAAATTCTCATGTCTTCGGTAGATGTTTTCAGGCATGTGCGTTGACGGCGATCAGTTCCTTCCCGGGTTGAGAGCGTCTCGATGTCTTCTGATTCAGGACGAAGATCCCAGCTCAGCGCTCACCAGCAAACTACTTGGCGCTCACACTCACTTCCGCCACGTTGGCTGGGCTCTCCTCTCACTGCTTAAAGTTGCCACTGGTGCCTGCTCCCTGCTCCCTGCTCCCTGCTCCCTGCTCCCTGCTCCCTGCTCCCTGCTCCCTGCTCCCTGCTCCTGCTCCTGCTCTGCTCCCTGCTCCTGCTCCTGCTCCTGCTCCTCCTGCTCCTGCTTCTTTTGCTACCTGCTTGTACTGCTCCCGCTCCCTGCTCCTGCTTCTACTGCTTTTACTGCTCCCTGCTCCCTGCTCCTGCTCCTGCTCCTGCTCCTGCCTCCCTGCTCCTGCTCCTGCTCCTGCTCCTGCTCCCTGCTTCTACTGCTTCTGTTCCTGCTTCTCCTGCTCCTGCTTCTCCTGCTCCTGCTCCTGCGTCTCCTCCTCCGCTCTTCCTCACCCTCCTCGCAGTTGACGGAGTGAGCCCGCTGCTCAAGAAGCTTGATCTCAGCCCTGGCGTCAGGCTGCCGGACGAGGAGACGGCGGTCAGCAAGGCCATCGAAGCTATGAGGATGTGGAACAACGCGACGAGGAGCTCGCTGAGGCGAGCCTTCCTCCTCGAGGCCCGGGCCCACGTGCCCGGCTGCCTCACCTCAAGCGAGCTCGACAGAATGCAGGAGGTAACGCACGCGCTGACAAGCTGACGATTGTTGGAGGAGGAAGGAGAGGGGAGCGAGGGAGGGGAGAGGGATGGACAGAGCGAGGCAGCGAGGAAGCGAGGCAGGCAGGCAGGCAGGCAGGCAGGCAGGCAGGCAGGCAGGCAGGCAGGGATTACCAGAGACCTTGCGAGTCACCCGACTGGAGCAGGCAGGAGTTCTGGACTGCAGGCTGGCAGATGAGGAGAAGGCTACTAGTTGTCGCTCGACATGCGGAAACTTCTGGTTGTCACAGGTTGGAAGAAGAAGGAGGAGAAGGTAGTGAGGGAGTGACAGGTGTACTTCATGTCCTTCGCCATGGTAACTTCCTTTGTCCTCCTCAACGTGCTCGTGAGCGTCTTCATCATCGAGGTTTTCCTCCTCCTCCTCTCCCTCGCTTGACGCGTTTGCAAGTTGCGGAGAAGTCACGACAGGTCGAAGCCCAAGATGATTACCAAGACGCTTGACGTCGAGAAGGTGATACTCCTGCCGCGAGCTTCTGCCCGCCTGCCGCGAGCTTCTGCCCGTCTCCTCACTCGCTTGTCTGCCTGCAGTTTCATCGCATCTGCAAACGATGGAGGTGGAACGCGGTGCTTCGAGTAGCTTACGGGTCGATAAGGAGAGGGCAGGACCGAGGAGACTGATGCGACTGAGCAGGCACTGGCTCATCCTCAACGACTACAGCTTGCATTCTGATAGCGCTGAATTCACACAAGACAGTCGGTCGACCTCTACTTCCGACCTCTCAAGCCTCTCCTCCTGCGGGGGGTGAGGTGAAGGTTGAATTGAGCAGCTTCTCATGCATGGACAGGATCCTGCCGAGGGAGGAGGAGCTGAAGGAGGAGGAGAGCGTCTCGGAAAGCGAGCGATCCACAGAAGCTGCGCACAAATTCCTCATTACGAAGGGGAAGCGCCTGAATCGCCAGCATGCGGACGAGGAGCAGGCGGAGATGCACAGGCCTGAAGGAGGGCAGGCGGGCTCAGCTGCCCATGCAGCAGCCACCAGGCAGAGCAGGAGGAAGAGTTCGGTAGCAGCACGACATGCGGGCACGAGCAGCCTGAAGGCTCTGCGGGATAGTCTGAACGAGGCAGACAAGGTAGAGGGACGAGGAGACGGGAGCTGCCTGAGCACTTTACAGGTCACTGAGAAGATAGCAGCCTTCAAGGCTGTGAGCCGAAAAGAGCTGAGGAAACGATGATGCTTGGAAGAGCCACTGCTGTATGATAAGTGCTGCTACCTGTGTATAAGCCTCTCTTCTTATCTTATCTTCTTATCTTATCTTCTTATCTTATCTTCTTATCTTATCTTCTTATCTTATCTTCTGATCCTCTCTCGTAACTTTCTCTTCTTGAGCTCCCTCACTGAGGCTCCATTGTGAGTGTCTCCGTGCAGAAACAATTTGTCTGGAGGAACCGCCGCGTCCTCTTTCCTTGAGAAACGATCTTTCAGCTCTTGCAGCATCTCGTCGTCTAGTCCCTCTTGTTGATCCTCATCACCATCATCGTCATCGAAGTCTATCAGGTCATCGCCGAAGAAATCTTCGACCGACACGATGGTATCTGTCAGCTGCAAACCATTCAGTAGCGAAGTCGAGGAGGAAGCAGCACCTGGTCGTCCAGCCAGCAGTTAAACTCCAGCAGCTCGTTGTCGCACAGCCCATGGCCCATGTTGAACTTGAACAACCTTGACATGGAGAAGCCAGCTTTCTTCCCCCTCTTGTAGCATCTCTTCCCCAGCTCGTAGTCCACCACCTGCCCACACATCAGTTTGACGTCCCAAGTTCGCCTAGCAGGGGCTCCTCACTGAGTCATTGAGCCCATGGGCAAGGAACATCTGAACACCGCGTCTCTTCCCCACCACCTTCCCCTTCCAGAAGGTTGGCAACAGGTTGTCGTACCACGCCGGCTTCACGCCTCGCAGACTCTCGGGGAACCAGCCAGACAGTACGGCACATCCGCCAAGGCTGCAGACCTGCAGTTGCTGGTCATCCTGGAGCTGCTTCAGCCTCTTGTTTTCTTGTAGCTCTGAGCCCTCTTCCTGCTCCTGCTCCTGCTCCTGCTCTTGCTCCTGCTCTTGCTCCTGCTCCTTCTTCTCGTCCTCTTGCGGCTGCGGCGCATCCGTCACAAGACTTGGATGCAGCCCTCGCAGTCACCTTGCTCAAGAAGTTTCGCATCGAGACAGCGATCGCCACACTTGAACCTTGTCCGAAGCCACAGAGAACAATCTGACAGCAATCGAGATAAGAACGAGGAACACCGGGCCCTTCGACCCTCACTTGCGATGGATTTGTTCCGCGTTCAATCTCATCATCGATTATCTTGCAGACAAAGTCTGCTCGGTGGTCATGCAAAGGAAGTCTCCACCTTCATGGTGTATACCTACACTTCGTTGGAATTCATTGACATCTTCGACAAGTTTCCCTCCTTCTTTCTTCGTTGAAAACCAACTTGTTGCGTATCTGTGTCCACTGGTAAGCAAGGAAACGATGGTCATCAGGCAGATACGTGAGGTTCGTTTCGTTTGTCGGCCGTTTAGGCGCAGTGAGGAAGATGTACTTGAGCCATGCGCGTTGAATCCTGCAGCTCAAGTCCTCACCCTTCAACTGCACCGATCGCACCATCTCTCACCTCCTGTAAATCGATTTCGCTTGGGCACAACCACCGCCGAAGTCATGGAGCCAGATCACAGTCCCAGCATGCCTGGTAGGAATCAGCTCGATCGAGCTTTCGGGGTATGACCTGAGTTGTCCGTAGGTCATGAAGGGCCAGAAGACCTGATGGGGCCCGAACTCGATGCCGTCTCGCGACAGATCCTTGATGAGCCTTGATAACCTCGCCTCCGCTGCTGGCCTGAGCCACAAGTGACTGACACCAGGAGACCACAACGAGATCAGATGTCAACCTGTCAAAGGTGAAGAAATCTTCATCCCGTACATCTCTGTCCAAATCTTCCCATCCTTGGTCGTTCTTCCTCAAAAGTGTCACACTTGGATCTTAGTGTGTACTGTCACCTCTTGAAACGTGTATACTTCAGTCCCATCTTCCTCGTCTACAATCTTTTCTTTCATTTCACCATTCAAAACCAACCGGACCTTTTGAAAGCTCAATGATGATCGAGAGATCACTGGAAACTTACAATTCTGTCTCGCCATTTGTAAACAAACCTTTCTTTCGTTGGTATTCGTTCGATTGGAAAATCATCGAGGAAAACGTTCTGATGTCCCTTCAGGTGCACGCTCTTCGGTTCCAAATAGCTGTAAAGTTGTCTTCCTGTGTCGAAGTCTTGTATGGCTTTCTTCCTTCCGCTATCATCACAAACGATCCGTACGAGCACATTTCGCCACTGGAACACGTTTGGAGGAAGGGGATTCCCGTCCTCATCCATGGATAGTCGTTCGGCTCGGAACTGTTCTAAAGTGAGATGGCCATGACCTGGCAATTCAACTGTGTGGCTCCCTTGAAACAAGCCTTCAAATGTCGTGTTGGTCTCAAGGCTGGGAGTAAAGGCTGATGCTGTACCTCGGTCGTGGCTTATCGCATCATCCTCTTCCAATTCAATCTCACGATCTCGTTCCTCATCAATGTCTGGCTCATCATCCAGAGCGTATTGGTCAGGAATGGGTCTGGTCTTGTCCTGGTCGTTTCTTGGCACCAAACTATCCGAATCCCCTTGGGACAAGCTCTGGTCGTGCATCCATTGATACATCTCGCTATCTTGTGAGATCGCAGGCTTGGAGTTAATGTCTTTCTTCTTTTTGCGACTCTTCTTGTTGAGGATCTTTTTCTCCTTTGAGGCTCCTCCTCCTCTCAGTCTCATCTTGACTTTCATGGCGCACAGACATGAGATCGGCCCCCGATTCGAAGACCAGGGCCTCCTGGCAGTATGATAATTGGAGCTGCTTGTCAGGTCGTTGCAAGCACCAAGAAAGTTGGAAGCTACAAGTATCATGAAAGCAATCAATCGCAAAGAGAGGAAGGAAGATGTTGGATGAAACCAGCACAAGCTATCCTTCTCTGCCCTCCTGCTCGCACTCCTGTTCATCTCGGAACCGACCATGCGCATTCTTTTGTCATCCGTGCTCCTTGCTTCACCTCTCATATCATGCTCCTTGCATGATGCGTCCCAACCAGGACGAGGCGGGCCGGGTAAAGAACAAAAGATTGTGTCGTCCCTCAGTATAGCTAGTTAGATCCCCCAACTCGGATGGGGGGATGATGATTTGATTCTGCTGCCGGCAGCAGCACGAGGCAGAATGGTCTTGTCCTCTTCATTGGTCTGCATGGGAAAATGCTCTCAATCCACGCAATGACGCACCAACATTTTCAAGAACCGAAAAACAATAATCTTTATTCACACTTTACTAAACGGGCATCCTTTCCCAACCGTGCATTCCGTGGGCATCATTCCTTTGCTGGAAACTCCTTTTGCCCCACAAGCAGGACAATCCACCTTCATTTTTTTAAAGTGAGAAACGGGAAAGAGCAGAGGTGTTTTGGGAGAATGGAATACCTTCCCTTCAGGGCCATCTCTTGGCAAATTCCATCTGGCCTTAAAACCAACCTTGGGATCGTCCAGACTGCTGAATCTGGCCATCGGGTCCTTGTAAATGAAATTAATCTTGAGCATCTTACCAGCAAAGCTCTTCGATCATCACCTTCTTGGGTTTAGAGGAGGAACTCAACAGTCGATAAACATCGACAACCAACTCCTACAGATGGACATCAGGAAACGCGATGAGCCGAAGCAGGGCCGAGGTGCATCAGAGAAGAGGTTGACAAGGTATAGATGGGGGATGGGGAAAGTAGAGGTCGAGGTTGAAAACGAAACAGAAGCACTCACGTCACATCCCTCAGGAAGCGAGACCTTCAGCAACTTGAGTCATCCCCAATGGTGTACATCAAGTTCAATACCTTGGTACAACATGCACGAGCCACAGACCGGGAGCCAGGAAAAGAAGGATCCTCTATATCACATGTACAGCTACCGCACAGCCCGGTCTGGCATCCTCGGGGCAAGCTGATGCCTACAGAGTCACCCACTGCGAGTAGGACATCGCCTGGGTTAGCTGCTGCAATCACCTGCCGAAATCATGAGCATCGCAAGCCGCTGCATCTCTTCAACAATTCACACGTCGTTGGTTCCGTCAGAAGGGTATCGTCCAGGAGCATTCACAAAACGCACAGCGATTTCACCTGGAGCAAGTTCCTGGAAACCGATATGAGTTTTGCATCAAATGTATCTTGGATGCAAAGAATTTGACGACATCAAACAGCAGAACTCACATAGTCTTTCAGCCTCTTGTTCTTGTCTGGCCATTCTCTCTCGATGGAATGTTCGTCGTCGTCATTGCCGCCTGTTTTCACTTTGGTTGCTACTGCCCTCAAGGAACAGACATTGGAATGTCTAGAATGCACGATAGGTGCATGTGGATGGCGTGAGGCTGCTAGAGGAGCCCAAGCCTCTACTGAAGTCATGGCCACCATTAGCAACCCTACCGCTCGCATCGCCATGGCCTCTGGGTTCCTCACAATCCTAACCCACCTCTACTACCCTCAAATAAACACCATAATGAAGGTGGGGGTGGGTACCACCCACCCCTTTTGTCGAAAGATCCGAGAAGGAGCGTGTACAAAGACCACCCCCGCAAAGGAAGCCAAACTGAACAGGAAAGGTGGGGTGGGGGGTCATCTGCAAAGCAGTGGGTCAGTTTACACACCTTAATTTTATTAAACAAGCTTAATTATTAAGCAATTTATTAAGCACACCAGAACAATTCTGATCTGAGGCAAGCCTGAAAATCGTTCTCCTAATCCGGACACCACCCATGAACGAGGCACATGATATAGGGGGTGAGTACCCCTCATGAGACCCTTCTTTTCAAGTGACAGCCAGGGGTGTAATTTGTGAAAACTCTACTAACCTTCGTTTGATTATTTGAAACTTTGGTCTGTATTTTGGCATACTGAAAGTTACCTGGTCTGTTGCATCCACCAAGTAAAAATTCACCCAACCCCTACACTCTACCTGTAGCACCTCTTCTGCCTCCAGGCATCATTTCGCCTACCCCCAGCTCCTCCCGTATTGACTATGAAACCTTCAATGGGGATTGAGCGAGCCTGTGCTCTCGTAGGTTTTACTACATGTACCTAACACCCCAACTTTGAGATCTCTTGACCACCCCTACGAAGACTTGACCTTTACAACTACCAAATGCTCTCACACCACCCCTACCCCCCTCTTTTCCAGCTATTCCTGGCGTTCCATTTGAACCAAGGCTCAGAAATCTGATTGAATTTTAGGGTCGCCTAACTTATAAAGTTAAAATATTGTTATAATATCGCCTAAATCATATAATAATGTTGCAAAACAATATGTATTTTAAAGTTGTTGAAAAAGATGGTATTAAGTAATAACCGTACGAAAATTACTAGGTTTTCGAACGATAGTCCTAATTCAAAGGATATCAATAGAATTTTGATTATTCATTGAATAATTCATCCACCACAGATGGGTTATGTTTGGTAGATAAATTTCATCTATATTAAGTTTTAGAACGTAGAAAACTTTTTAAGAGGAGCCTACCCGCTGGCGTTGCTGCATCTTCGGCTGCCTCACCCTCCTCTAGCAATCTGCTGCTCTTGCTGCTACCAGCTTCCCTCAGCTCTTACCCTCCGCGCTCCTCAACCCACGTGCTCACAAGCATTCGCCTCCTGCCTTCCTTGTTCTATCCCTCATTTGCCTGGACTGCTCTTCTGCCCTTCTGAAGCTTTTTTCGAACCATTTATCAGGTCAGCAATTCGTGTTTTCCGTTTGTTTCATGAATTGTGTTTGTACTTTCTTGGTTTTCTGCATTCTTTCCTCTCAAACCATAAATCCTCCTGTTTTGAAAAACGATTTTCTGTCTTCTTATGCTAATGAAAGTATCTTTGTTGCATTCGCTTTCCAGTTTTCTTCGTGTGTCAAGGATAAGCTGTACACATGTTAACTGTGTGCGACAGTTGCTGGAGTCTTCTCTCGAATAAGTATTGGACAATGGAGAGTGCAAACCTCAATACGGATACGCCGAAGCCTTGTGCTGGGGGATGTGGTTTTTTTGGTTCAGCCCCTTTGGACTTTTATTGCTCAGTTTGTTTCAAGAAAAACATCGGGGAAGAGGAGTTCAAACGTAGAACCCAGTCCATCAAGAAGGTAGATTCTGAGTCACTGCAAGAAAATATCAGCGTGGAGGAGGAGAAGAAGTCTAGTGTTGATGAGCAAGACACGGCAATCGCAAAAACTGACATTCTGGCCCAAACGGTTTGTAAAACCGAGACAGAGGTGGCTGCAACCGCGTCTTGTGAGGAGCCCGTTCAGAAGAAACCGGCAACTAATCGATGTTACACTTGCAAAAAGAAGGTTGGGCTCACCGGGTTTCACTGCCGATGCGACAATGTCTTCTGCAGTGCTCATCGATATTCAGACAAGCACGATTGTTCGTTTGATTATAAGGCCGCCGGTCGTGAGCAACTTGCGAAAGCTAATCCTACAGTCGCTGCAGCAAAAATTGAGAAGATTTGATCCTTCTTCCGAATCTTGGTGCTGTTTTCCAAGGCAGGATGGCGAGTGACAATCGTGAAATGATCACAGTTGAAAGCAGATCGCGTAGTCTCTTTGATACTTTTTTAAGCGTTATGATCCTTACAAGTGTTGTGTATTTCTGTGTTTTCCCGTTGCGTCTGATATCACACTGCCGCATGGTTCAAACCAAAACAAGCAAACCACAACGCGCTATCTCAACCATATTTACTAACCTAATAAGCACAAGAAAAGACAACTATGATCAATGGAAGTTGATAGGAGGTTCCCAGGAGTCCGGGGGGTCTACAGTTGGGTCGCCCGAGGCCATGACCCCCGTGTATTCATCATTAACTCGTGGTCCTTTCCTCCAAGTGTACGGCTCCATCGATTCTGAGTCCATGCTTGCACCATCACGAGGGTGGTAGTGTGCGTTCCACCCGGAGTTGTCCCATGCGGAGGTGCCATAGCCTTCGCTACCTACACCACCCCAATGGCTTCCTCCGTACAGTTCCAGGAAAACTTTCTTGGGATTTCTGGAAGTGTGTTGAACTCTTGAGCGCTCTGACGAATGATCTCTCTGCCTAAGGACTTGTTGCCGAAGTGGCTTATCATTCCAAGACACCAGCATTGGTTTTGGGGGCTGACTTTCACCAAGCAGAAGCTGTTTGCGGCTTTTCTTGAAGTTGATAGGAGGTTCCCAGGAGTCCGGGGGGTCTACAGTTGGGTCGCCCGAGGCCATGACCCCCGTGTATTCATCATTAACTCGTGGTCCTTTCCTCCAAGTGTACGGCTCCATCGATTCTGAGTCCATGCTTGCACCATCACGAGGGTGGTAGTGTGCGTTCCACCCGGAGTTGTCCCATGCGGAGGTGCCATAGCCTTCGCTACCTACACCACCCCAATGGCTTCCTCCGTACAGAATTTGGACAGGAGCAATTGGAATCATGAGGAGGCTATAGGAGCGGGTGAGAGGGAGGGCGAGGAGGGAGAGGAGGAAGAGGGCGCAGGCGCATGTCAGCACGGCCACACCGAGTTTCGATGCCTGCATGACTGCTCACGGAGAGACACAAGCTCGCAGGCGATCTACCCACCCCCTATTTTTATAGGATAATCAAGGGTACTAGGGTACTAGACTCATTGGGCCCGCCTCGCGATGGTCAAGGCTCAGCTTACATGGCTCTGAGGTGGGCGCACGTAGTTATAAACCTGTCGCAATGAACAGGCTGGCCGCATGCTTGCGGCTTCAGCTTCTCATGCTGGTATGCTCGCAAGCTTTTCACACATCCCGCATAATGCTGCCTCGTCTTCCTTCCTCTTCCCTCTCGTGCAGATCTAGTAGACGTTTCATATCCTTGCAAAGGGCAACTTCCCGATGTATGATGCAAGTCACTGCGTTAGATCCCGACATCTTTTCGAAGAAGAGTGAAGTGCTTGCCTCTCTTGCTGAGATCGATGACCCAGTTCTTGGAGAGAGCATTGTATCTCTCTCTGCTGTGAAGAATCTTGAAGTCGAACCTTCGGGTGACGTCAGCTTTACCGTTCAACTTTCTGCCCCTGACCTGCAAGGGGTGGTGAAGCAGGCGTGTCAGAGTGCACTCTCACAGCTTCCCTGGGTAAAAGACATCGAGATCACAGTAACGTCTCTTCCGCCCAATGACTCGCTGCGAGAGGCTTCGAGAAATCAAGCGACTGGGTTGAAGGGAGTCAAACACGTAATTCTTTGTGCCAGTTGTAAAGGAGGTGTAGGAAAGTCAACAACCGCCGTAAATCTTGCATACTCGATGCACAAGCGAGGATTCAAGACTGGGATACTCGATGTTGACATTTATGGTCCAAGTTTGCCGACTATGGTGAAGCCCGAGAGACCTTTCGACCCGAGAAGAGACATAGTGGGCAACGAGATCATGCCGGTTAATGGCTTCGGAGTGAAGCTCATGAGCATGGGCTTCATAAATCCGGTGGACTCATTTGTCATGCGAGGCTCGCGTGTCACTCCGCTGGTGCAGCAGCTAGTGAGCACAACAGCATGGGGCGAACTTGACTACCTCATCATCGACATGCCGCCTGGAACAGGAGACATCCAGTTAACGCTCTCTCAGATGGAGACTCTCCGGATAGATGCAGCTGTCATCGTGACCACGCCACAGAGACTGAGCTTTGTTGATGTTGTGAAGGGCATCGAGATGTTTGACAAGGTTGGAATCCCCTCGGTTGCGGTTGTCGAGAACATGGCATTTTTCCAGAACGATGGCATGCAGGATAACATTCAGGCTTTTGCCAACAAATATTCCCTGCCACAAGAAGCAGTCTCTGAGCTTGAAGAGATTTTGAAAGCTAAACAGTTTCTGTTCGGTCAAGGTCATAAGCAGAGGTTGCTTGACATGTGGGGAATTCAGAACAGTATTTCCATCCCGCTCTTTCCTGACTTGGCGAAGCAATCTGATTCTGGAATGCCGTATGTTCTTGCATTTCCTGACACAGACGTGTCACGCGCATATTCCGCCCTAGCAGAGTCGGTCATATCTGAGGTGAGCGTCTGGTCACACTTTGTCAGGTTTGACTCTGCACAGGTGGCAAAGATGGAGAGTGGCAAGAACGTCATGCCAGAGATCGAATACGATGCTCCTAACAAGCAGTTTGTCATCGATGGAAATCAGCGCATCAGTGCCAAGGAGATGCGACGGTTGTGGTAAGTTCAATGCCGCGAAGGTTGCAGACTTGCCCTGACGTGCGGGCGCAGTCGATCTCCTGCCAACGATCCGAACAATGTGAAGGAGAGCGTGGAACCTGTGGACTTCGTTCCTCTTGGAAGATATGCAATCTCAATTCAATGGAATGATGGGCACCAAAGTTTGATGCCTTATCGATCTTTTGTGAACTCTTACAAGTAGAAAACAATAAACTTAACAACATACACTCTCAGCCTTCCAGGCTCTTCCCTAGTCGACGAAAGTGGCCTGGTGACATGTCCTGCAAGAAAAGTGGGAATTGGGTTCAACTTGCGAGGCTAGCGAGGCTGAGGTCCACACAGGTTCACGTCAGGAGCTTGCTGCCTGGACGAGGAGTAGCGAGGTGGACAGTCTTGAGCGTGCTGTTGCTCTTGAGAGCTGCCACAAGAGCTTCTCCGCTCTTCAAGGAGATGTTGTTGCTGTCCAGCCAAAGAATCTCCAACTTGTTGTTCACTTGCAGAGCTCTCGCCAAGTTTGCAGCCCCAGCATCAGCGATGGAGTTTTCCGATGCGTGGAGCGAGACAAGACCGCGATTGATTCTGAGGGCGTCAGCCAGCGCCGTTCCTCCGTTGGCCCCAATGCCATTTCCTTCGATGTCCAACCAGCGTAGCTTCACGTTGGTTTGCAGCATGTCAGCGATCGCCGTTGCTCCAGCATCGCCGATTTGGTTGCTGTTGAGGTCAAGCTTCGTCACGCTCTCATTCTTCTTGAGGGAGTCAGCGATGGCGGTCGCGCCCCTGCCGTTGATGTCGCAGCAGCGCAGCAGCAGCGTAGTGAGCTGAAGCTGCGGGCGAGCGAGGCAGTCAGCAAGCGCTTCGCAACCTGCTGCTCCTAGTCGGATGCTCCAGTGCGACAAGTCTAACGTCGCTGCCCCGTTGCGAACCTTGTGCAGAGCCTCCTGCAGAGCTCCAGGAGAGCCGTCATGGCGGCCGGGGGCATGGGAGGCAGCTTGAGCCTCCTTCTTGTCGTAGGCCTCGAGCTCGGCTAAGATGTCCTCCACCTCCATGCCACCTCACCCGCCTCCCCCGCCTCAGAGCCAACCGACGGGTAGCGATGATGACTAGGAGAACCTGGATGCTGTCGGGGAGGAGGGAGGGGGGGGATGTGAGGGAGAGCAGAGAGAGGAGGGAAAGAAACGAGGAGAAGTTGCGATCAGAGAGGAGGCAGGAGAGATCGGAGGGAGAGAGCAGTATTACAGGAGAGAGAGGAGAGATGGCAGGAGAGGAGGGACACGAGGGAGGGAGAAAGGAGATGAATGAAAGGGAAGAGAGAAGGGGATTGTGGTATGGGAAAGGGAGGAAGGGACTGGCAAGAGGAGAATTATGAAGTGGGAGAAGAATTAGATGAGGGGAACTGAAAGAAGCATGGTTGGATGAGAATGGGCTCTTCTGAGGGTTTGCGATGCATCACAATCTTTGACACGTTGAATCCGCTGACCCGTCGCTGCAGTTCACCAAGACAAGCAAGCGAGAGCACATGAGCACTTGTGAAGTGGGTCATAGCGGAGATCATAGCTGAGGTCCGAGGATGCGAGCAGGAACGGGATGCAAGTTCCTTCTTGCTTTGATCTTGTGTCACTGTTACGTGGTTGAGGCTGTTCCCCGCGAGGACTGGGCAGAGCAGTGGTGCGAGTTGAACGACTGCTATGGGGTGAAGGAACGCGAAAAACGACAAAACACCATAGATAAGGTGGAGAAAGAGCATCGGAAGGCGGCGAGAAGATATCAGACAACCGGTGAGATCCGAGCGATCAAGACCGAAGCAGTGCAGCACGCGTACTTCGGCTATGATGGCCCCGTCCTCGACCATCCAGCATTCCCCGGCGTTGCGAACGAGCATGCGGAACGTGCTGAGAGGCGACAAGAAGAATATGCTCAATCGATCCGCAAGATGGTGGAGCAGCGAGCAATTTCTCCTCCTCAACCCTCGGGCGGATACCTGCTTCCCAACTCCGAAGAGGCCGCGCAGCTTGCCGTAAGAGAGCAGGATGACACCGCGATCGCCATCGCTCGCAGACGACACGCGGTGATGAAGAGCGAGGTGAGAATGGGCTGCATGTACGACTACTTCGAAGAGCCCTACGGAAGGGAAGGGCATCGCATCGGCCGGATCCTCACAGTCCCCAAACGTGTCAAGGGCTGTGCAGCTGGCTCAGTGTGGAAGGACACGGGAGGAGGAGGAGTTGAGCTTGTCTCCAGGACGGCAGAATCTCTCGGAAGCGTGTGGAGGAAGGTGAACGGCACCGACCGCGAGTGGTTCGATGACGTTCCCGCGCCTCCCAAGGATGTTCCTTGGGCCATGTCGTGGAAGGAGTGGAGGTCCCAGCAACTCCTTCCCTACAAGCAGCGAGCTCCCCCCCCTTGCGCTCCTGGTTACGGCGGCGCTTTCTGCAAGATAGAACTTGGAACAGGCGCAGACTACGTGGATGAAGAAGACGAACCTCCTCCTTGGGCTCAGATGAACGATGTGAAGAGGCTGAAGCAGTTCTGGAAGGAGCAGCACATGCTAGCAACAGGGAAGAGCTTGTCAGGGGTGAATCTTGACGCTCACCGGCGGGGTTCTCTTCCTCTTGCTCCGCTGGAGTACACGGCAGGGACAGCCGACAAGAAAGCCATCGCCTCCGGGGAACGAAGCTGTCTCTGCGACCCGACAGACCTGGAGTGCATCAAGAAGTGCACTGACGCCTCGTTCCGACAGCCCAAGACCTGCTACGACAAGTGCGACCACACCGGCTGCCATCAGGAGTGCGTTCACGTCCAGCTCTCCTTTGCCAGCGACAAGCCTTCGGTCCCAGCTGGCCCGGAGCACGACAAGCCTAGCAAGGCGAAGTCGATCGCGAGCGAGCACAAGGCTGATAAGAAGGTCGAGGCAGCAAAGCAGCTGAGCGGAGAAGAAAACAAGGCGAACGCGGCGGGGAATCTGAACCTTTGCGAGACCGGTGAGGCTGCGGGGGAGTGGGAGGGACAGGAGGAAGAGGGGGAGGGGGAGGGACTGGAGGGGATGCCTCACGTTCCTCCAGGTCACTTTTCTATCAACGGTCAAGCCCCTTGCCAGCCGTGTGCGGCAGGTTCTTATGCTGCCGAGAGAGGAGCGGTGACATGCACGCGCTGCGAGAGGGGATCGTACCAGAACCGGACAGGGGCGTCAAGCTGCGAGACCTGCGGGGGAGACGCTGCGACTGTGCAGGCGGGTGAGAAACTTGGCAAGCCTGAGGTCGCTCCTCTGACCGGCGACCAGGCGCGACGTCGGCGAAGGACTGCGGGGACTTTGCGATGCTGACGGGAGTGCAGCTGATCGAGTACGAGCGACAAGTTGACGACAGCATCGTCCTTGACGGTTCAGAGGAGAAGGACGTCAAAGTGAACCCCACAGGCAGCGCCATGGTGCAGGATCAAGCGAGGGAGGAGGGAGGAAGTGACCGTTTGAGCGCAGGGTCCGTGGTATGGAGGATGGCGGATGCTGGTCTACGGGAAGAATCTCGGCAAGTCAGCGGAGGACCTCGACGTCATTCTCGTGGGTAACGTGACCTGCAAGAGGAGCGTCTGGCTCTCTTCCTCCTCCTCTGCGTGCATGGTACCGCGAGGGATGGGGTGGAACCTGCCGGTCACGGTAGACCTCAAGGCCAGCTCGGCGACCCTGGAGGGAAAGTTTTCGTACGAGGCTCCGGTCATCGAGTCCTACCACCCGCGCAACGGAGCTCCTCGCGCTGGCTTCTGGGTCACCATCACCGGCAGAAACTTCGGGCACGTGGACACGCAGCCAGTGGCTTATCTGGCTGGGCGAGTCTGCCTGGAGACCTACTGGATCAGCGACTCGCGCGTCCTCTGCCGGGGACCCCCGGGGGTCGGAGGTCCTGCGATGCTGCACCACGTGGACGTGACGTTCGAGCCCGCCGAGCACGTGCAGGACATGCCGAGAAGGTGAGGGAGGATGCCGGGGGGGGAGACTAGACGAACGGGAGGAGAGAGACAGAAAATAAGAGAAGGACAAGACAACAAGAAAAGACAAGACAAGACAAGACAAGACTGTAGCAGGGAGAGAAGAAGAGTAGACACGACTATAGCAGGGAGAAGATGGAGGGCCTCTCTATATCTGACACGTTTTGATCACGCAGCTTAAGGAAGTGGGTCAGAAGTTTGCTAGCAGCAAAGATTTCAACTGTATCAGCAAAGAAGGAGGCGAACCCTGTAGTGGAGATCGACGTCAAGGCAGCGGCAGACGCAAGCGACAAGGCACTTGCGCGCACAAGCATGGATGGAGAGAAGAGGAGGGCAGACAAGGTGAGTCGCTGAGGAGCCTAAACCCTAAACCCCACAAGTCGAGTTGATTAGAATGCTAGAGTAGTCCTTGGGATCCTTTAGTCTCGTCCAAAGGCGATCTCACAACACAGTTGGCCTCTAAACCCTAAACCCTGTCGACCTGACACAAGTCAGCAGGAGAAGAAGAAAGGAGGAGATGCTGGATATGCGACGACTTCTCTCGCTGCCCTGAAGGATAAGTGGAATGAAGAAGAGCAAAGATTCAAGCAAGAGCTTGCAGAGCTACAGAAGGTGAAATTTGATGTGTTGAAGCAGCAGCTGAGAGCAAACAGGACAAGCTCGAGCAGGAGGAGGATATGATAGCATCGTACTTGGTGATGGTGGAAGACAGAGACATCAAGCGGGAGCAGCAGGAAGCGGAAGCTCGGAGGAAGCGGCAGGAAGAGTTTCTTGCTCTGCAGGTTGATCGCAGCGTCTTGGCATGTCAACCTCACGAACGTATGCAGGAAGCAGAGCGAGCGATTAGAGAGCAAGAGTTGGCTGCGATGAGAAGTCGTGAGCAGCAAGAGGCTTCGCGACTTGAGGTCTCTTCTTCCTCCCCTACTTTCTGTCAATCTCCTCTCCCTCTCCCTCTCCCTTCCCCTTCCTTCCCCTTCCGCTGTTATCTCAGCCTACCCCTCTCCTCTTCCCCTCGTCTTAGAATACCTCGTCGTCCCTTCCTCTCCTCTCCCAATACCCTGCATCCCCATCATCTTGCCCTCCTCGATTCGTTTTCTCATTCTCCTTGTTGTCATTCTCCTCACCGTGCCCGCGTGCAGCATCTCATTCCCTTCCCCTCATTCTCTTCATTCAATCCTGTCCACTCCTCCTCCACGTCGACTTGCTCCACTTCTCACTTCTTGCACAGAAAGCAAAGGGAGCGATGGATAAGAAACTCGACAAGTTCAGGAAGGCTCAAGAGACGGCGAGGAGGAAGAAGCTGCGAGCCGATGCCACGGTGAGTTGCTGGGAGGCAGCGAGATGTTGGTGAGCTCTCGGAGCAGGAGGCGATTGCGGCTTTGTCCTCGTGTATCGAGCTTGTCGCCATGGACTGTAAGTCAGGCAGCTGCAGACTCCTGACAGCTGCTGCTCTCGCGTCCCCTCTCTGCAAGCTGGAGGTGAGACGGAGCGAGAGCAGAAGCAGAGGGAGGCAGGAGGAGAGGGAGGGAGTCGGTGTGGAGGGAGGAGATGACGATAGTTTACAGGACCTTGAAAGAGCTTCGCATCTCATTCAACAAGCTCAGCTCGAGCAGGAGGAGGAGGCACAGAAGGTCGTTGCCCTCCTCTTTGACCTCCGACGGGGCCTAGAAGATGGAGAAAAACGTCTGCGCGAGGCTGAGTCCGCACTTGCCCGCGTGCTCGAGAACTCAGCAGATGCAGGGAGGGAAGGGAATCGATGCAGAGAGGCGCTGGGACAGGCGGAGGCTTCTCTCCTTTCTGCAGGTCTTGCTTCAAGAGACGCCATGGAGCGGGTCAAAGACGTGAGGAGAAGACTGGAAGAGATCGAGCTGAAGCATGCCGTGAAGGCGCAAGAGGAAGCCACGAAGAAGGAGGAGGAGGCAACGAAGAAGGAGGAGGAGGCAACGAAGAAGGAGGTTGAGGATGCAACAGCGACGGGTGGGAAGGAAAGCATGGTTGTGATGGACAGAGAGGAAGTTGTTTCGGTGAAAGAAGTGCTGAATGAGGGGCAAGAGGAGAAAGTGAAGGAAGTCAAAACAAGCGACGAGGAGATGTCAGTTGCTGTCTGCGAGCATCGAGAACTCTGCTCTGGAAACGACACGACCAAGAGATCGCGCCAGCTGCCGGACAAGTGCGGTGTGGGCATGGCGGTGAAGGCGGTGAAGGCTGGGAACGAGCAAGTGGGACTTGAGGTAACGCGGCTGGTTGACGGCAGCCCGGCGAGCGAGAGCGGAAAGATCGCCATTGGAGACAGGTGAGGAGAGGCAATGAAAGGGAAAGGATGAAGAAGAGGGGGGGAAGGGAAGGGATGAAGAGGGGGGGAAGGGAAGGGATGAAGAGGGGGGGAAAGGGGTGGAAAGAGGTGAAGAAGGGATGGGCGTAGGGCAGATAAATCCAAGGAAGCTGATACCCAGTAGGTTGCTGATGGTGGACGGAGAGGAGGTAAGCTCTGTCTCGCCCAAGATTCTGGCGGAGGAGCGAATCATGGGAGAAAGAGGAACCCGAGTGACTCTCACGGTGATGAAAGTCGGCGGAGAAAAAGTCTTTGTGGAGTTAACAAGACGATGAAGCAAAGGCAGCACGAGGAGAGAGGAGGAGTTAACGAGAGATGGTTTGATGGCATACCATGCGAACAATCTTTCCGATGAATAAAGGAGACAAGATCAAGACAGCTGAGCAAGAAGATGAATACACCCGTACATGAGGAGAATGATACTAGATGATCGTATTCCATCCTTCCATGTCAAAGCACAAGCTCTCCGCACCTGAAGTTCATGAGCAACCTCATCATATTGCTCGCTGAAAACACCTTGAGGAGAACACGCCAGTGTCGCTCCTTCTTCTTTAGCTTCTCCTCAAATTTTTCTGTCCCATCAGTCAACGACAACAAGATCTCTCAGACTCTCTTGACTTATGTCAAACGACTGACTTTCCAAACAAAGCAGATGGAAAGCGAAGCTGACAAGTAAGGAGCTGGCTAGCCAAGACAAGTAGAAGAAGACGGCTCCAAGCTGCCTGGGCAGACTGAGCAAAAGAGTAAAGAAATGGCCTGAGCACAAACACAAGCAGTACGGGCAAACCCTGTAGTCAAACCAAGCTTCTTTTGAGACTTCCCCCTGACGCGCTTCGTCTACGTGCGTTGCAGTCGCGTTGGATAGTCTCCGCAAGCAGTGAGATTTTTGCTTCCGAAGCAAACAGGTAGAGATAGAGAGTAGGACAACTGAAGGACGAGGGTTCCCTTGCAGCCTGTTCATCATTACTGACCCGATGCCCTGTCATCAACAGACCAGCTAAAGGTGCCAACGGTGATCTCTGTTGCTTCCTTATGGCCCTCAGCACTGGGGTATAGGTGAACATGTCTACACTGACTGTCAGTCTTCTCGTCTCTCTCAAGCGCGTGAGTGTCACTTGCAATGGTCGTGATCGTCCCCGCTCAAGATGAGGTCGGGCGCCACGTCCCTCAGAAGGTTCTCAGTGACGGACCTGAAGGAGAGTGAAACATGACCTCTCCTCCTCCCCCTCCCTTCTCCTCCCCTGTCTCCTCCTCCCTCCTCCCTCCGATGTTCCTCGTTCTTTCTGAGCTCGCCTCCTTTCATTCCCCGCCTGACACCCCCGCCACCTCCCCTCGAGTTCTTTCGCTTTCACCGGGGGAGCATGTTCTCATAGTTGAACCCTTGCCCGTAGTCGATCCCCCTCGCGCTTCCTCGCGTCGCTCCGCATGGCGAGTCGCTCTCTCGCCACAGAGGCACGTGAGAGAGGAGAAGCTTGCGCTGGCAAGGGGCGGAAGGAAAGCCTGCACACGAGTGAGAATGAGAGGGAGAGAAGGAGGTGAGAGAGGAGGAGGTGAGAGAGGAGGAGGTGAGAGAGGAGGAGGTGAGAGAGGAGGGGGCAGGAGAAGAGGAGGTGAGAGAGGAGGAGGTGAGAGAGGAGGGGGCAGGAGAGGAGGAGGTGAGAGAGGAGGAGGTGAGAGAGGAGGGGGCAGGAGAGGAGGAGGTGAGAGAGGAGGAGGTGAGAGAGGAGGAGGTGAGAGAGGAGGGGACGGGAGTCATGTCACCTTGTATCGAGGTGTTGTGAAACACTTGGATGGAGTCCATGCCAACCACCTCACGACCTCGTCAGCTTGCGAGGCTCCCTCCTTCAGCGAGTACCATCAAGTCCGACATCTCCTTCGCGTACTTCCTCATCGCAAAGTGCTTCTCGAATCGCCTCCTGCACACGGGACATAGAGCAGGAGATCGGATCCCCACGTCGTGGTTTCCTGTCCCGCAAATCAGCCGAGCACTCACAGTGAGCGGTGTGACCAGCGACAAACAACCGTTGCACATGTGGCGGCATTGAGAAGACATGGCGAAAGCGAGCGAGCTCTTGCTCGTACTCCTCGTCGCTAGTGAAGAAGTCAGACACAATGCTAGAAACGTCTTGAACACACGTCAATCTCACAGTTCCATCCATGAGATCGCCGACAAACAAGACAGCATGCGGTCTGCAATCACCCTCTGACATCAGAGGAGCAAGCATGTGTCCTCTCGTTGAGAGTGAGCACCGCATGGCCAACACTTGACGGAACGACTTCTTCATGAAGACGTCGCTCAGCTGTTCGATGAGCCATAGCACTGACACCAGTCACGCCGAGGCAGCAGCAAGCATGCTTCTCACTCATGCCCGAGGGAGCAAACCAGTAAGAGGAGCGATCAGTGAGCTGAGGATCTCCAACCACAGCTGCTCTAAAGGCGTCCGGACACTTGCGATGCACATCAGTCGCGCGTTGGTGTCACAGACACTCACAGTGGTTGTTGGCCAGCTGCACCTGTAAGGGACCGAGAGGAACACCAAGACCTGAAGCAAGCAGACGGAATGAGCGAGGGACTGCAGGCAGCAGGCAGCAGGTAGCAGGCAGGAGCTTCACCTCATGGTAGAGGAGGATCAAGCCGCTCAGAACCACAAACTTGTTCTTCGCCAACATTCATGGCGAGGGAACCAACAAGCCTCGTGTACCGCGAAACCGGTAGACCACCTTGGAGTTCGATCTGACAGAGACGGGCCAACCCCTAGTGCCTATCGTGCCATCATCTGTGCCATCATGCCATGCCGCAGTGCACAGTGACGGTGGGTCAGGGCCCATGGGTCGGCTGCCTCCGGGAAGCGAACCAGAAGCCTGCACACGCGGCATGATCGGAGAGTGGCTCAGGTCCCGCTCAAGAAACTTACCGGGCCGCGACAGTTTGCGCTGCGCAGGCCGGCAGAGGAATGAAGTCACACTGTGCCAGGCTCATGAGACGAGCGGCGTCTCAAGACTCAGCTTCTTCACTTTGAGGTCGTGACTGGCGGGATTACACCGAAAGTAACCAGCATTGCTGGCGACTCGGACCAGACCGTACCCCGAGTGTAGGCTACACAGGCTCGGCGGCCAGCCCACGCGGCAAGCCACGTAGACAACTTAAATATCGCCGGGCCGGGGCAGCCGACTGGGCCGCTGCCACGTTTGCAGCGCGGCTCGTTGTCGGCGGCTGCCCTTCAACCCGGGGGCCGCCTGGAGCAACGGGACTCGACACATGGAGCCGCGGCTGGACCGGCATGCTGACGGTACCGCCGCTCCGGGCCATTGAGAAAGCAAACAGTCCTCCACACTGTCCTCAGCCGGGGCGCAGCGCCGCAGCCGAGACCGAGACCGCCATTGACGGCGACGACGCTGCAGCACGGTGCCCACTTTTTACCTTATGCGTGTAAACTAGTGACTCACTGGGTCATAGTTTGCATGACGGAGCACAAGTTTGTTAGGCTTGTACTTTGCCAAAGTCACGCAGACATCACATCGACCTTGGTTGTTGAAAGACAATTTTTGCAGACCGAGTTTAATGCACACGAAACCAGAATTGAGGAGCACATGAGAGATAGACTGTATCCACTATTTCCGTATGCTAGGATGTGAACCCAAGCATCCAGACATGAGAGGACCTTAGCAAGACGGCTAGGAAAGCCCCCACTTCGTCCCACACGCTACATGGCCGCCTTGAAACAAGTAAGTCGTCTTGGTTTACAGCTTTATAGGATTTACTCGCAGAAGGTAAAAAGTGCCTCAAGCAAAACAAAGCAGGAACAAGCTGAACCGGCAGGAGAGTTTTGTTAACTCGGCGCTATCTGACTGGCACGGCTGGCATACGATCCATCATTGCAAGGTCGGGGGGGAGCAAGTACACCGCTTTTGTTGCTGTTCATGTTCAAGACGCTGGTGAGGGCGAGCCATCTCCAGAAGCTCCGGTTCAGCTTGTTCCTGCTTTGTTTTGCTTGAGGCACTTTTTACCTTCTGCCAGTAAATCCTATGTTTCCTTCTTGCTTTGTTTTGCTTGAGGCACTTTTTACCTTCTGCCAGTAAATCCTATATCTCCGAGGAGTCTTCGCCGGAGGTCTCCGACTCCGATGGGGGAAACTTCCAGAGTGGCGCCGACGACCGGCGCGGAGCTGGCGAGGCGTCTCCGTCCCTCACTGTGACGTCGGGTGCCTCCGGAGAGCTTGACACCACTGGGGTGCTTGCTGCTGGTCCGAGCTCGCCTGCTTCCTCCCCGGCATCAGTCGGGTCACGCCGCCACAATGGATTTACTGGCAGAAGGTAAAAGTAGCCTCAAGCAAACGCCGGTCCTTGGGCATTGCTGCGGCGTCGCCGCCGTCACGGGCGGCTACCGCTGACTCGGCTACCGCTGACTCGGAGGCTAGCGAGGAGTATAGGATTTACTGGCAGAAGGTAAAAAGTGCCTCAAGCAAAACAAAGCAGTGCCTGCCAGTTCAGCTTGTTCCTGCTTTGTTTTGCTTGAGGAACTTTTTACCTTCTGCCAGTAAATCCTATACAGGGCCTAAGAGAGACATAGGATTTACTGGCAGAAGGTAAAAAGTGCCTCAATCCTATAACGTAGCAAAACAAAGCAGGAACAAGCTGAACCGGCAGGCACACAGTCCACAGCGAGAAGCTGCACACACACACACACAAAACACAAGCCCGAAAAGAACCAGCACTGCTGGCACCCAGACGCGGCATCGCCAGCCCAAGCGCGAAGCCGCGCAGACAAGCAGCCTAAGGGTCAAGCAATCAAGCAACAAGCAGCAGGAGCATGCAGGAGGAAGAAAATCCCTTAGACGCGATACCCGGAGGCAGCCGACTGACCACTGTCTCTGCCAGTAAATCCTATATGACTGTCAGTCGAGTCAGCGGGAGCCGCCCTTGACGGCGGCGACGCCGCATCAATGCCCAAGGACCGGCGTGACCCGACTGATGCCGGAAGGAATGGATTTCGGGGAGGAAGCAGGCGAGCTCGGACCAGCAGCAAGCACCCCAGTGGTGTCAAGCTCTCCGGAGGCACCCGACGTCACAGTGAGGGACGGAGACGCTTCGCCAGCTCCGCGCCGGTCGTCGGCGCCACTCTGGAAGTTTCCCCCATCGGAGTCGGACTCGGACCTCCGGCGAAGACTCCTCCTCGGGCGACTCGACAAAGTCCGAGGAGGAGCTGTCCTCTGGCTCGAGAAGTGCTTGCGCCCGCAAGGGCGTCATGCGCCTCGCACCAGACAAGAGCGCCTCCAGCGTCAGCTGCAGGTTTAGCTTGTTCCTGCTTTTTTTTGCTTGAGGCACTTTTTCCCTTCTGCCAGTAAATCCATTGCTGCTGCATAGTGAGGCGCTGATCGGTGGCGGCGAGTTTGTGAGCCAAGACAAATCCATTACCACCTGCTTTATTTTGCTTGAGGCACTTTTTACCTTCTGCCAGTAAATCCTATGTGTACGTATAGGATTTACTGGCAGAAGGTAAAAAGTGCCTCAAGCAAAACAAAGCAGGAACAAGCTGAACCGGCAGGTACACAGTCCACAGCGAGAAGCTGCACAAACACACACAAAACACAAGCCCGAAAAGAACCAGCACTGCTGGCACCCAGACGCGGCAGCGCCAGCCCAAGCGCGAAGCCGCGCAGACAAGCAGCCTAAGGGTCAAGCAATCAAGCAACAAGCAGCAGGAGCATGCAGGAGGAAGAAAATCCCTTAGACGCGATACCCGGAGGCAGCCGACTGACCACGCCACAAAGCGGGCGGCCGCGGACGGAGAAAGGGCAGCCGCCGACAAGGAGCCGGCGCTGCCCGGGTGTCCGCCTGGGGCAGCGGACGGAGGGAGGCTGGACACATGAACACGGTACCGCTGACTCGGCTACCGCTGACTCGGAGGCTAGCGAGGAGTATAGGATTTACTGGCAGAAGGTAAAAAGTGCCTCAAGCAAAACAAAGCAGGAACAAGCTGAAACGGCAGGCACACAGTCCACAGCGAGAAGCTGCACAAACACACACAAAACACAAGCCCGAAAAGAACCAGCACTGCTTGCACCCAGACGCGGCATCGCCAGCCCAAGCGCGAAGCCGCGCAGACAAGCAGCCTAAGGGTCAGGCAATCAAGCAACAAGCAGCAGGAGCATGCAGGAGGAAGAAAATCCCTTAGACGCGATACCCGGAGGCAGCCGACTGACCACTGTCAGTCGAGACGTCCGCTGCCGCCACAAAGCGGGCGGCCGCGGACGGAGAAAGGGCAGCCGCCGACAAGGAGCCGGCGTTGCCCGGGGGTCCGCCTGGGGCAGCGGACGGAGGGAGGCTGGACACATGAACACGGTACCGCTCGAGGTAGTCCTCCTCGCTATACCTCCGAGTCAGCGGTAGCCGAGTCAGCGGTAGCCGCCCGTGACGGCGGCGACGCCGCGGCAATTCCCAAGGACCGGCGTGACCCGACCGATGCCGGGGAGGAAGCAGGCGAGCTCGGACCAGCAGCAAGCACCCCAGTGGTGTCGAGCTCTCCGGAGGCACCCGACGTCACAGTGAGGGACGGAGACGCCTCCGAGTCGCCAGCTCCGCGCCCATCGTCGGGGCCACTCGAAGGGTTTCCCCCATCGGAGTCGGAGACCTCCGGCGAAGACTCCTCGGGCGACTCGACAAAGTCCGAGGAGGAGCTGTCCTCTGGCTCGAGGAGTGCTTGCGCCCGCAAGGGCGTCATGCGCCTCGCACCAGACAAGAGCGCCTCCAGCGTCAGCTGCATGGTGAGGCGCTGATAGGTGGCGGCGCGTTTGCGAGCCAAGACCTCAGCAGCAGGGCCGTCATCAGGCACGAAGTGCCGACCAAACGCCGCATCCTCAAGAGGCATCGAGCGCTGAGCAATGATGTCCGCCAAATACCAGATGAAGCGGAGGGTGTCAGGATGCAGGGTACCGTCCGTCGAGATGGCAAGAGGGATGAACGCTCGAGGAGGAGTAGTCATAGCATATGCAGCGCGATGTTTGCGAATCTTCTCAGACGCTGCAACATGGAGGGCGTCGAGGTTGACCTCCCCCCACTTGGTCAGGTCGGCAGAGCTACCAATGTAAGGGTGGACCAACGTCACGTCCGCCATCAAGCCCTCGTACTGCTCGGGTCAGCGGTAACCAAGTCAGTGGTAGCCGCCCGTGACGGCGGCGACGCCGCGGCAATTCCCAAGGACCGGCGTGACCCGACCGATGCCGGGGAGGAAGCAGGCGAGCTCGGACCAGCAGCAAGCACCCCAGTGGTGTCGAGCTCTCCGAAGGCACCCGACGTCACAGTGAGGGACGGAGACGCCTCGCCAGCTCCGCGTACCATCTATCTAGACGCGAGGTATATGATTTACTGGCAGAAGGTAAAAAGTGCCTCAAGCAAAACAAAGCAGGAACAAGCTGAACCGGCAGGCACACAGTCCACAGCGAGAAGCTGCACAAACACACACAAAACACAAGCCCGAAAAGAACCAGCACTGCTGGCACCCAGACGCGGCATCGCCAGCCCAAGCGCGAAGCCGCGCAGACAAGCAGCCTAAGGGTCAAGCAATCAAGCAACAAGCAGCAGGAGCATGCAGGAGGAATAAAATCCCTTAGACGCGATACCCGGAGGCAGCCGAGGGAGGCTGGTGACACAGGAACACGGTACCGCTCGAGGTAGTCCTCCTCGCTAGCCTCCGAGTCAGCGGTAGCCGAGTCAGTGGTAGCCGCCCTTGACGGCGGCGACGCCGCGGCAATGCCCAAGGACCGGCGTGACCCGACCGATGCCGGGGAGGAAGCAGGCGAGCTCGGACCAGCAGCAAGCACCCCAGTAAATCCTATACCCCAGTGGTGTCGAGCTCTCCGGAGGCACCCGACGTCACAGCCGCGCCGATCGTCGGCGCCACTCGAAGGGTGTCCCCCATCGTGCTTGCGCCCGCAAGGGCGTCATGCGCCTCGCACCAGACAAGAGCGCCTCCAGCGTCAGCTGCATGGTGAGGCGCTGATAGGTGGCGGCGCGTTTGCGAGCCAAGACCTCAGCAGCAGGTCCGTCATCAGGCACGAAGTGCCGACCAAACGCCGCATCCTCAAGAGGCATTGAGCGCTGAGCAATGATGTCCGCGAGATACCAGATGAAGCGGAGGGTGTCAGGATGCAGGGTACCGTCCGTCGAGATGGCAAGAGGGATGAACGCTCGAGGAGGAGTAGTCATGGCATATGCAGCGCGATGTTTGCGAATCTTCTCAGACGCTGCAACATGGAGGGCGTCGAGGTTGACCTCCCCCCACTTGGTCAGGTCGGCAGAGCTACCAATGTAAGGGTGGACCAACGTCACGTCCGCCATCAAGCCCTCGTACTGCTCGGACCCTCGATCGCGGATTCCAGGGATGTGGATATCGCCCTTCATCTTGCGGCCATGAGGATGGGAGGGTACCTGCCGTCGAGAACGAGGATCCCCCACTGTATCGATGACGCTTTGAAGACCAGCTTCGTTCAGCATCGACCGAATCGTACGAGTAAGGCCCAGTTGTCATGCGCCGTGGGAAGCTTGGAGGATCGGCGTTTGCAGGTCTGGAGATGATGTGCAGCAACGGAGGGATCGAGCTCGCGCTGACATCCATCACATTCCGTCGGACACTGGCAGATCGGAATGCCATGGAGATAGCAGTCGAGCATCTGAGCATAGCGGTGCGGGAAGGCCTTGAGGGGGTAGTAGCTCGAGACTCGCATCGGAGAGTGGCTCAGGTCTCGCTCAGGAAAATGAGCGAAGATGGTAGACTGCAAGACCCTATCCTGCGACTTGAGCGAGTGTGTCCTGCGGCTGTGCAAGGTGAGGATATCACGCTGCTGATCGGTCAGCGCAGCGCGAGCATGCACATGGCGAGGGAAGACGCGCATGACAAGAGGAGTCACATTGCGCTGCGCAGGCGGAGGAATGAAGTGCTCATGAGACAAGTCGACGAGAGCGCGCAAACCAAGTCCAGGTATGTGTACTCTGTGACATATGCCGGGGGGCGTCCTGCGTCATCAGGCATAGCAGCCGGACGACGAAGATTTGTAACCGGAGGAGGCTAGTAAGGAGGACTGGATGCGTCACCTCGAGCCGTACCATGCTCCTGTGCCCAATGTAGAGAATGTTTACTCGCAGAAGGAGGAAGTTTCACTCGCAGAAGGTAAAAAGTGCCTCAAGCAGAACAAAGCAGGAACAAGCTAAACCTGCATGCACACAGCGCACAGCGAGAAGCTGCACAAACACACACAACAAAACAAGACCAAAAGTAACCAGCACTGCTGGCAACTGTCAGCAGACCCGGCACGTGGACAGAGAGGTCAAAGCGACACCGCCAGCCCACGCGCCGCCAGCCCACGCGCGAAGCCGCGCAGACAAGCAGGGAGGGTCAAGCAACAGTCGGTAGGAGGGGTAACAAGCAGCAGGAGCATGGGGACGTCCGAGATGAAACTCCCTTAGACGCGATACCCGGAGGCATCCGACTGACCACTGTCAGTCGAGACGTCCGCGGCCGCCACCGCAAAGCTGGCGGCCGCGGACGGAGAAAGGGCAGCCGCCGACAAGGAGCCGGCGCTGCCCGGGGGTCCGCCGGGGGCAGCGGACAGAGGGAGGCTGGACACCCGCTCGAGGTGACGCATCCAGTCCTCCTCACTAGCCTCCGAGTCAGCGGTAGCCGAGACCAACACCACCCGTGACGGCAGCGACGCCGCATCAATGCCCAGGGACCGGGGCTGTGCGGCATCGGGGGCAGGCGAGCTCGGACCAGCAGCAAGCACCCCAGTGGTGTCAAGCTCTCCGAAGGCATCCGACGTCACAGTGGGCGCGTCGGCTCCACTCTGGATGTTTCCCCCATCGGAGTCGGAGACCTCCGGCGAAGACTCCTCGGGCGACTCGACAAAGTCCGAGGAGGAGCTGTCCTCTGGCTCGAGAAGTGCTTGCGCCCGCAAGGGCGTCATGCGCCTCGCACCAGACAGGAGCGCCTCCAGCCTCCACCAGACAGGAGCGCCTCCACCATGAAGCTGAGGCTGGAAGAAAAGCATAAGCGATTCTTGTCGGTGGTGAAGCTATAATCAAATTTGAGAAAGAAAGGGACAGTTGATAGCATACAGACTGACGGGGTCGCACTCTGTGTGACGTTCAAGAAGAGAATACAACATAAGACAGACAATACTGCTACAAAGAAAAGCAAACCAAGTGAATGTGATGTGTCCTCAAGACGAGTTATTGCAATCGATCCTGGTCGCAGTGTACTGATATGCGGTGTCGAGCAAATACCTGGTCAAGAAAAACCAAAACAGTATCGATATACTCGAAGGCAGTACTATCATGAGTCTCATATTACTCGGAATAACGCGAAGTTAGAAAAATGGAGACAAGGCAAACAGAAGCATCAAACGATATTGCACGAGTGTCAGCAAAAACGTCTCGGTTGGATCACTATGAAAGATACATCGACACCGTGGTGAGACTAAGCGAGATCCTGTTCGAACACAATCGTCAAAACAAGTTCGCACGCCTGAAGATGGATAACTACATCCACAAACACAAGGCGATTGATACGTTCTGCAACAAGATGAAAGGTAATGGTTCAGATCTGAAGCATCATTCGGTTGTACTGGGCGTGCAGAGAAGTCAGTGCCTGTAAAGTGGATCAAAAGGCGATGTCAGAACTTCTTCGAGGTGACGGCAGTTGATGAATACAGAACGACAAAATGTTGCAATCAATGTCATCAAGAATTGTATGATTTGAGACGCAAACAAATCAACAAGAATGGTATACTCGCTGACGAAGTGTCAGTGGTGCGGGGTTTGAAATGGTGCAGATCCACCAATTGTTTTCAAAACCGTATCAAGTCTCGTGATGTCAATGCTGCTATGAATATTCTATTGTGCTACATGTCTCTACCAGCACGACCGGATTCTCTGAAACGGCCTTGAATCACACATGGGTCTGGTTATACTTCAACCTGTTCTTCATGGAAAGGATCAAGTACGAGTCAGACACAAGGAAATATTGGCTTGTGGGTCTGCCATGATCCATAATTTCGACGGAAAATTTAGAATTTTGAAATTTTATGTTTTGTGTCGTTTAGCTAATAACTGATCATTGACATAGTTTACAGCTGCCTCGCTTCACCTTCTCTCTTTTCCCTGTAGCGACGAGCTTGACGGCTCCTCTATGGGAGGCCACAGGCCCTCTGAGCAACGTGAGAGGAAGCGAGAGCAGCGCGCGGCTCACCCAACGTCTTGCGGTTCTCCTTCCTCACCCATAGCGAGACCTCTGCCAGGAGCGCCTTGGGATCTTCGCGCCAGGTGGCGAGCAGACCTGCGATGCCGGTGACTGGGCAGACTGATGGCAACTCGCTCCTCCTCGCGCCTCACGCCTGCCTGCCTGGTCCCTCTCGCTTTCCCTCGCTCCTTCCTTTCTCATCCTCATCCACAATATCTTCATCACCTTCGCGCGAGGACACGCCCAGCAGTTGCAGCGCGCTCAGAAGTCTTGCAACCTTTGGGGTTGACCAGGAGCTGGAGTTGCATGAGAGATGCTAAGCGAGGAGGGAGGAGGGAGGAGGGAGGAGGGAGGAGGGAGGAGGGAGGAGGGAGGAGGGAGGAGGGAGGAGGAGGAGGGGAGGGGAGGGGAGGGAGGAGGGAGGAGGGAGGAGGAGGAGGAGGAGGAGGAGG